TATTTTTTAAATGTTCAACATTATTGTTATTAGCGAAAATGTAAGTCGTTGAAGAAGTTGTATTTTAATTGTTTAAATCTCTAATGAACGTTTGGTTCACAGTCGGTTTTTGCAACACCAATAAATATTGTTTCGATTGGTTAAACAATTTTTTTATTCGAACTGATTTATAAACATACTAAAATACACACAACAATATGAAATACAAACATGGTGTGTTGTCTATTACTTTATTGAAAAATTACTTTAAATTGAAATGTTTTTGAGACGATATTTTTATTGTTTCAAAAAAGTTTATAAAAAATCAATTAACAATATCATTTTTATGGTTTAATTGTGTTTGTTGTACTTGCTCTGTAGAGTGTTTTAAAATTGCTGTTTATAAGTTACACCAATCATTATTTGTTGGTGTGCAATTAACAGAATTAATTGTCAAGCATAACATTTATCAAAGTTATAATTGAATCAATTTGAACAATTTATTATTCAATTTTGTTGCGTTCTATTCAAAAAATGTGAAAAGGTAATCTTATCATATTATTGAAGTTTAGAATAATTGTTGTTCCAACATTAAATTCAAAAATATTTATCGTATTCATTAATACTTTCATTGTTATTTACATTGTATTAATTTTCTTATTAATGGAGATTCGAGCACTTTTGATATCATTTCATCATTGCATCTTTACATTTGTTTCAAACAGTATTTTAGTTGACTTTTTAAAACAAAACACCCATTCTTATTTAAAAAAGTTATAGAATAAAAAAGTCGCAATATGATTACATTTTTATTGTTGATACTATTACAAATACATCTTCATATTTTTATCAAATTCAATTTTTAAATTTATTGTAATTTTAACGAGAGATATATGTTTGTAAAAAATTTAACATTTTGAGTATTATATGATAATTGATCATATATTTTTACTTTTTATTCTTTTGTATTATAATATTTTTTGTGGACAGCTTTAAATTAACCACTTTATCATTTAATTATCCTCTTATGCTGTACTTTTGTTCTTTTATTTGAATAAAACAAACGAATCCACAATCACACATGAGTTTGTGTTTTTTTCTGGGTTCGACAAATGCACTCTCAAAATCCTTGTACTTGCTGTGTTTAACATGAAAACAATCAATCGATTTTGAACAGTTTGGTTTTTAACATTATTGTAATTACTGAAATATGAAAAAAATCTTATACCAATTGTGATAATTAAGTAAAAACATTTTATTGATTGATTTTCACAAAATCACTTTGTTATCTTTGTATAATTATCTTACATTCAAATCCAAATTAATTAAAATCCAAATTAATTAAAAATGTACGACTTAATAAATTATATTGATAAAGTAATATATTATTTACACGACAACTTACTCAATCTAATTTCTTACAACAAAACTGTTATGTTTTTTTTCCAAAAAATAATAATCTTTTAACAAACCAATTCTTTTAGCTTTTCATTTTTGTCTATTTTACTCACTTTTTAAATGGGAGCTTCACAAAACAAGTTCACTTTATTAAGGAGCACTTTTATTCAACGTTTTTTACAGTGTTTTTACAAAAAACAGGAAAAACAGATAAGATAAAAACAAGGAATTGTTTTTTCACAAGCTATACAATCTAAAATTATAAATTTTTATTTGATATATTGTATTTCACCTTATAATTATTTGAAATTGGCGTTTCAGTAAATATTTAGTTTAATTTGAAATTATTTCAAGCAAGTAAAAATTTCATATAAATTGTGGTAAAATTAAAAAAATACAGTATTTCCAGATGAATTTTGAATATGTTGGAATACATCTTTTGTTGAAAAAATAAGGTGTCGACTTAATGAAAATAACGATGTAGTATGTGCATTTATAAGGTGTTATTTTATAGTTCATTGTACAACTAAAATGACTGGAGAACGTAGAATAGTAACATCAATTGATAAGGTATTTGGTATTCATCGGCACAAAAAACTACAATGACAAAGAAAAAAATAGGAAAATTGATAGCCGAAGAAATAGAAATAGTCAGTAGTGAAATTTCTGAACAAGTTTACGAGTTAAGTGAAAAATACAACAAAACGGAAGAGAGAATAAAAAAGGAAGGCTTTGAAGACTACAAAAATATGCCAAAGAAAAATGGTCTTGTGAAATACAGTGTGAATAATTCCGAGAAATTAGCAAAAAAGTTAATTAATAAAACAAAATCTGAAATGAAACTTTCTGCTCTTTGCAATGCGAAAACTAGGGTAATGAAAAAGAAGGAAAACCAATGACACTCAACGAATTAAAGAATGGACATTACCTTTATTTTAGTGAAGTTACAAATGAGATATATATTGGGTAGAGAAGGAGCATTTGAAATTTTATCACGCACAAAATCTATACTTGGGGATGGGACTTTTACATGTGTCACTTCTGGATTTACACAATTATATATTATTCACGGTTTTATTAATAACACGTATTATCCACTTCTATATTGTTTATGCAAATCAAAAGATGGTAAATTGTATAGCAAACTTTTTTCGCTACTTGAAAACCTTGCAAATGTGCGCGGATAATTAATTAATAAAAAAATCGTCTTTTCAGTTTTTTCCCAAATTATTCCCAATTTTTACAATATTTACCTAATTCCCTGAGTTTTAAACAATTATTTGTGTATGAATTGATAAAAAGGACAACGTTGGCGACTGGGACAACGTTTTACAACAAACTCTACACGGTTGGACGATGCCATATAAAAATATTTATTTTTATGTTAATTTCGTTGTCTTCTAAACAGCACATTTGATAATGAAAACATGATAATAGTTTTATTTTCAAAATTCAATACAAGTTGTTTACAACTTTGGATCGAGTTGTAAATAATTTAACAATTTGTTTGGACTCACAAAAACAATTTATGTCATTTCAAAAATACATATTATGTATAATTAGTTGTTTGTATTAACTTTATCCAAACACAGTTAAATAATCATTGAATTGTTGTGTTACACTATTATATTATATTATATGGTTATTGTTTAAAATTTTAAAATAGAATTGTGTCATCCTTTTTTCTTTGTTAAGTGATTTTCAGCT